TATATATATATATATATATATATATACACATAAAATGGTTCTGATCGATATATCTGACCGATTCTTGTCGGAACGTATCACTGTCCGCATCTACCACCTGTTACCACTCCTATTGTTGTGATTACTTTTCAAACTACTACGCTACGTCGACTACTTCTACAATGCGGCCTGTATACTTCCAATTTATCTTTTGGCGTGTTCATCGCGGAATAATCGATCGGGAACGGCACGTTATTGCCTCGAATAATGCAGGAATCTGTTATACCGAAAAAATGTTCTCCTGGCCCGAATGGTCCACGACCGAACAAAAAGTTGGCGAATGCGAGTTGATACTGCGGCCAACCGAGAAGATGGTCTCCATTCTGAAGAAAATGCAAAGAATAATTATTTTAATAATTTTCCATTTCTTCGTCTCATATCTTCTTCTCCATCTCATTATTCCCCCTTCTCCCATTTTATCCTATATTTCACCTCGTGCCCTCGTCACGTTTTATATACGATGTGTCATTTTTTTTTTTAATCTTATTTTTCTTTTTTTTTTTTTTTTTTCTTTTTTTGGAACTCCTAGACTTTTTATAGCGCATTAGATATCTTAAAAGTAATAACATCAATCGTAATTATATATTCTTTTATGATAAAAATATAGCGTTTTTACCGATGTCAGAGAATTATACGCCATATCCAGATATTTGGAGATTTTGTCAGAGTCTAGGCCGACGACAGATCCATAAAACGATTCGAGCTCTTTTTTCGATATTATTCCGCTTACGGAATTATTAATGGCGAGAAAAAATATTCGTGGTAAAATTTTTAACCAAAATGGAATCTCGTTGTAAGTTGCTCCTCCGACTGGCGCGACGACACGCGCCCACCAGCACAACCATTCTTCCAAGCTGATCTGATCGTGTTTCTTCTCTTGAAAAATTAAGTCCGCTAATCCCTGTTCAATCTCCAACAATCTCAAATATTCGGGTCCGTTCCACGACCAATCCGCAAATCTTCTTAATCGCTTTCAAAATTGTTGAAATATTAGCATAAATGTTAGCATAAACTTTCAATAATAACCGTGTAATATCGCCTATTCATAGTGATATATACCTCTGAAAGCATTCGAAAATCTTTTCGATTGATAAAACCATCTCTGTCATGATCCAAAAGATAAGTGAAAAAATGTGAAAACTTATCGCGTTGAATGGCCGCCAGATCCTTTAATTTTCCACCCTTGTTAATTTCTTCTACAGCGATTAAATTTTCATCGCTGGCATATCGACTCACCCAAGTCGCTAATTTATCAAAAATATAAGTAGAAAAAAAAAGAAGGAACAAAACAAACAGGAACGCAAAAAAGAAAGAAATATTTAATTAATATAATGATACGATAATGATAATAAACATGCATATATACAATGTGCATAATAATACTTATAACAAACACGATCTCTGTGTTTTTTTTTTACACTTAATGCCCGTATCTTATCCATTCGTGATTACATTATGTATCTTTTCCTTCCTAATGTATTTAACGTGTGTTTCGTAAATAAAAATTACGAAATCTTACTCCAAACATGTACACTCCAACTAGGATGTTCCAATTGTTTGTTGGAAACTGGAACACCAACGATTTCATCAACATTAGCCGAAACAGTCCGCCATTTCTTCAAAAAATCCTTAGTTCTGTCTCGTGTACGATCACAAGCTTGTCGCCAGTTAGTGATAAATTTGCGCGGCACTTTCAACGCGTGACTCTCTTCCAGATCAAATTCTTGGCTACCAGCAGAACTTCTGCTTCGTTTGTCAATCGTTTCAACTTCCGTCGCCGTTTCATTTTTCCCCCCGTTTTCTTGCATCGAAGGATAATAAATCGGATCCTTTATACTATCCGAACGACTCTCCATCGTGGACTACGTCTCCTTAACTACCACTTATTCGTGCTACCTGAAATAATCAATTTCTCGACGAGAGGTCACCAGGTCGCTCGATAATAGAACCATCTATACTATCTAATATTTTCATAACTGATTTTCCATTTTCGTGATTTCATTGATCATTTTATATCATAATCTTTCAAACTTTTGATTTGTCGCAATAATCAAATCAAATCTTTTTCACATTTAAATAATTAAATTCTAGCAAATCAACAATATAAAAAAAAACTACTAATAAAAAAGTAAAATAAAGAATAAAAAAAAATATATATATATATATATAAATATTTGCTGCATATGCACTTTTATGAATTTAATTAATTTATTTGTTCTTGTTATTTTTGTATTATAGACATTTAAATATTATCAAATTGACTTATTATTAAAATTATCTTAAATTTCGTGATATGAATTTGCATAATTTGAATCAATGTGTATTCATTATGAATTTTTTTGGCATTCTACAATCTACCACAACTATTTCGATTACATTTTTTTTTTCTTTTTTATTTTATCGATGGATAAAATATGTTAAAAATTTGATACATTTTGTTTTTCATAGATGTCTCTGTCGTTTATATTCGTAGCATCAAATATACTATCTTCAATGTTTCAGATATAATGGTTTAACACATCAATGTCAAGAAGGTTGGGGGCCTTTCCTTCTTTCCTTCCAATTGACGAAGGTGAGTGTTTCGTATTGAAAATCGTATTATATTTTACCAATCCAAACGTATTTTTGAAGTACACATCAAAAAATTTCATTATCAAGAGTTGCTGTACAAAATATTCTTATGATTTCGTACATTATTTTTATAAGAACGTTATATTTATCGTGTTACGTTTATCGAAAGAAATTAACCTTATTTGTTTATTTTTCTTATTTATTATTAAATTTTCATTGAAAACTTATAAAATTATATTGTACAAAATTTATAAAATTTTCTGATTTTAATAATTATTAACCTCAGTTTTAAACTTTCTATTATGTTATTTTCATTGATAAAGATAATATTAATGCCTGTGTTTTTCAGGGATTCGCAATGGGTGCATACAAATATATGCAAGAACTTTATCGCAAGAAGCAAAGCGATGTACTCCGCTTCTTGCTTCGTGTCAGATGTTGGCAGTATCGTCAATTGACTAAAATGCATCGTGCTCCTAGACCGTCTAGGCCTGATAAAGCACGCCGTTTAGGTTATAAAGCAAAGCAAGGTATGAATAGTAGTTTTTCAATAAAATATATAAAATAATTGAAATATTCTTAGATCAAATTAATTATTTTAATTGATTCTATTTAGTTTTATTAATTTAATTTAATTCTATTTATTGTAACAATTTAATTTTTATTTTTTCTTTTTTATTATTTATAAAATTAAATATTTAAAAAATATGTATGATGAGATATACCATGCACCACTCTTACAGTTATATGGTGATATATGTGTATATACTGATTATCTTTTTATGTTTAATATAAATTAAACATAGCATATATTAAACATTTAATATAATATAATAGATATGAAAAATTGTATTCTTAATATGCAGGGTTTGTCATATTTAGAATTCGTGTAAGAAGAGGTGGGCGCAAACGTCCTGTTCCTAAAGGTGCAACTTATGGAAAACCAAAAAGTCATGGTGTTAATCAGTTAAAACCTACTAGAAAATTACAGTCTGTTGCTGAAGTAAGTTCATATTTAAATTGAAGTATAATCTTCATCTATACGTCATGTAATATGCAATTTTTATCATTTTTCTGCATTTATTTGATAAACACTTATTTTCAGGAACGTGTTGGTCGTCGTTGTGGAGGTCTGCGAGTTTTGAACAGTTATTGGGTTGCTCAAGATTCTTCATATAAATATTATGAAGTTATTTTGGTTGATCCAGCACATAAGGTAATTCATAATATTTAAATATTTTATAAAATATTTGTATGAAATGTGATGATATTTTATTACATATTGAAATTTCATGATTTTTCATCTTCCTTGGATGTCTGAATAAATAATTACAGAAGAAGTATTACAGGACAATATTAAAGAACGAAATAGTAATAATTTCATTTTATTTCAGGCAATTCGTAATGATCCAAAAGTTAATTGGATATGTAATGCAGTACATAAACATCGTGAACTTCGTGGCAAGACATCAGCTGGCAGAAGTTCACGTGGTTTAGGCAAAGGACATCGTTATTCGCAAACTATTGGTGGTTCTCGTCGTGCAGCATGGCTGAGAAGAAACTCCTTATCGCTTCGCAGAAAGCGATAAAATTTTTAAATGTTTCTAATAATGATATGTACATGATACATCATTGCATTGATATGTTACAGATACTTGTATCAATATTATGGTATATCCTGTACAAAATAAACACTTATTTCGTAATTAGTTGTTTTAAAGTGTTATATTTCATTTTTATAAATTAAGTAAATACAAATATATATAATAAGATACAATATAATAAGATTTTACAAGTTTAACTATATATATATATAATATATATATAAATATATAGATAAATGAATAATACATTTAATTTACAAAATTCTTACAATATTTTTTTTTCGCATTTTTATCTTTCTGATTTTATTTTTATTAACGTTATAAAATATTAAAACTCATAAATTCCTGCAATAAACTTTTGTATTTATTCATTATACATATTCTATGTTATAATTAAAAAATATATTTTATTGTCCAGGACCAGATAATGACTTATCCATAAATTTTTTTTTTGCAAAACATAACCACCACTTGCTTGGTTTGCCATCTTCACCATATACCTTTTCCACAAGTCTAACACCAGTTTCTTGTCTTATTTGTTGCAAATATTGTCTCATAGTATCTGTAAAAAGAAAAATATGTTTATACTTAATAATTTTCAATTTATTATAAAACTAATGCAAAATATACCTGCTTCTACAGGATTACTTGGTTTTGCATATACAGAGTTTAGAGGAAAACCAGGATCACCAGGAATATCAAATTTTGAAATAGCAAGAGAATACATTTCATTTGTAGCTTGAGCTTGAGTTGCACATTTCTGTAATCTTTTCAAGCATTCTGTTATATATAATGTAATATAAATTAAAACTCTATCAGCTTCGCTCTAAAATAATATAATATTTTATTTCAGAAACATAAAATTGAAATAAAAATAAACATATTGTTGTTACCTTAATTTCATACGTTCTAAAGAACACATTTGCTTTGAAGAAATACAATGCTTCATCAATTATATCCAAATCTTTATTATTGAAGGGAGGTGCAGGACCTCTAAAATGTGTTCGAATTGGCAAAAGTGCCATATTACCAACATTTCCATTACTTTCAACAAAACTTGAATGATATGCCTGAAATAAAAAAAAATAAGTAATCATTATAGTATTACAATAAAAAATATTTCATTTTCATTTTTCTATTAGTATATATACAAATATAATACAAAAATAAGCATAAATACTTATATAAATAGATTGAAATCTCAAGAAGGTTAGAGATAACATTATATGTCAAAATTCATTGAAATATATATAATATTTAATATGAATTTAAAAAATATTTACTTACAGGCATACTGATAAATATAAAAGAATTTCTACTAAGCAATTATAAATTTTTACGTATCAATGTTAAACAAGCGTATTCTTAGATATATATATGCAAATCGATATACGTCATATACTCATTTCTGATTAAAGATATCAACGTTAACAAAACATATAACTACTTATTGAATATAAGAAATTCTTAATCTTTTAACATATAAAATTTTAACATTTCATACAATTTAATTTTATTCATGAATATAAATAAAATTATATATAATTTTAATAATAATATCTTCCATTTTAAAAATTGTAACTAGTATCATCATTTTTCGATTGGTAGATAATTATTCTTCTTTTTCTTATTTATTCATTTTATATAAAATTTATATTATTTTATGTATATTTAACAAATTTTACATTTTTTAATACATACAATTTCGCATTTTAATTTGATTATCATTATATTAACAATAAAAGTAATTCTAGTAATATTCCAATGAAATGTATCTTGATTTTTTAGATTGGCTATTCTATTCACTTGATGCGAGAATTACTTCCGGTCATTTCCGTTAAATGGCGACGACGATGGATAGTTCATATCGGAGTGTGTTGTCGTAACTTTTTCTTTGTGATTTTGAGAAATCCTTCAATTGTTCTTTTTATATATCATAATTTTGTTACTTTATTGAGTTTATATATGAAAATTAGCTTATAAATTTCTATTTGTAAAAGCGATAAAATTGAAACATAAGCGTGCCTTGTGTCGGACACTTTTGTATGAGAATAATGGCCGATGTTGAAGGAAAAAAGCTCACTGAACTGCGAGTTATAGATTTGAAAACAGAACTCGAGAGACGTGGGCTAGATAAAACTGGCAATAAAGCAGCACTTCTTGAGCGTCTTTCCAAAGTAAATTTTCTTATCCTTTAAATTGTTTTTGTTAAGATATCATTAGCAATATTATTCTTTGTTTTATCGCCATTTTAACCCTTTTGATACCGTTGATAGTTTATTTCAACGTTATATATATATCATTTCAAAATCTTATTTTTTAAAATAATTGCAATATTACCATTGATGAACAAGTTTTTTTCTCTAATTATATTCAACTAAATATAATTTTACATTTTTATTGTTCATTATTGTTATTATAACTTATGGTAACTTCATTGTTATTTTGATATATAAAGGCTATAACTGATGAAGGTCAAGATCCTGATGAATACTTGATTGTACCTTGTGGTGGATTATGCAAAGTTAGTCCAAGAAAAAATAGTGGTATGTTATTTGACCTATATATATATATATATATATATATATATATATAGTATTAAAAGAAAG